GCATGCCAGGCAGGCTCCGAACACATAGATCCCCTCACATCTGCTCTCGGCTCACTTGACACCCTCCCAATGGCTCTGGGTACACTGGGACACCAGACCTGGCAGTTATAACTCTTGGATAAGCACAGCAGCTCCTGGGGCTCTTGCTGGATAAAATACAATCCCAGGAGCCTGCATTTCTAACACAATCCAGGTGATGCTGATGTCCTAGGGCCAGGGGCCCCCAGGGAGCTAACTAACTTCCTCCTGCTCCATCCCACCCAATTCCTCACTGGCTTCTGCTTCCCTATCTTGCCTGAAGCTCCAGGCCCCAAGCACACCCTGCCCTGGGGCTTTCGTCCCCACTAGGGGACCTCCTTCACCAAGGTCCTCATGGTCACTCCTGCTCCACTCAGGGCTCTGCTCAAACCTCGTCTCTGAGAGGCCTCCCCACACCCATGTCCAGCACTCCAGCCTGCTCCATCCCCCTGCCCACCCACCTCACCCCTCCTTTGCTGTGGCCTGGCAGCGCCCTCCACCTGGCAATGCAGGGGCCTGCTCCTGAGGGCAGGGCTATGGTCTCATTCCTCTGCCTTCTCTCCCACATCTAGGACAGAGCCCGGCGCAGAGTCAGTGCCCGACCAATATGTGACAAGTGAATGAAGACCCCCACTGAAGGTGACGGCTCACAGCCTTGCTCCTGAGGCTTGTGCTTTCAGGGACTTCGTGTTTTCACTGGGGAACAGCAGATCGGACTTCACTTACAAAACACAACATAAAGCTAAAATGACAAACTCCAGATCATGCAAAAGGCATGAACCCAAACGAGGTGCCCCCTGAATGGGGCCCTGAGGCCACGTGCCCTCACAACCACCTGGCCCACCCTGCAGCAGCTCCCAGTCCCATGTGAGATTCATTCAAAACCCCAGCACTCACAGCACAGTAGGATAAGGCTGCAGGGGAAGGAAATGCCCGGGCCAACAGGAAGAGTCCTGGACCAGACTAGGTGGGTAGGAGGCCACAAGGGGTAACTAAGCAGGATTCCTGGCAAAAGCACCATGGGAGCTAAAGTAAATCCTGCAGGATAAAAAGGGGTTTACCTAGCCTAGGGAGGGTGAGGGGGAAGTAATCTGTAAAATGAGGACAGGCCAGCTCTGCCCTGGAGCACTCTGAAAGTGTCTTCAGATCCCTAAAGACAGATCTGGCCTTTCTGCAAGAGATGGAGCTGGCTCTCGGCAACACTGACACCCGGGGAGCAGGGACCGTGCCAGCATGAAAACCAGCGCTGAGCCCGGCTTGTGGTGCACAGCTGAAATCCCAGCTTCTCAGGAGACTGGGACAGAAAGAGCCTGAGTTCAAGGCTAGCCAGGACAATTCAGTAAGACCTCATCTCAAACTAAAAGGGGCTGAGAACGTAGCTCAGAGATAGAACTCTTGCCTAGCACTGGATCAGTCACCAGGACTGCAAAAACAAACACACACAACTGGCATCTACTGAGCATGTGTGGTGGCCAGGTGCCTGATTACAGAGCTCTCAAGAGTTTGGCCACACCCTGGGGCTTATCCTCCCTTTACCAATGAGAAGGCTGAAGATCAGAAAGGGGAAGTGATTGCCTAAGGGGGCCCTACAGGGAGTGGACAACAGATCTGAGCCAGAGCTGCCCAACTTGGGCAGACCAGAATCACCGATGCACGTTCCTCTCTGACCCATCTGCCTTCCCAGCAGGCCCCACGCAGAGCACTTGTGAGGACCACTGAAGGAACCAATGAAAGGGCATTGTTTAAATGCACCCCCACTTCTCCAGCTTCTGTCTCCCCAGTTAGATACCTGTGGAGCGCATGAGAGCCACCAGCCCAAAGAGGGACAAGTTTGAATGGTGGCAATAGAGGCAGCCAAAGCTTCCTGCAGAAGCTGGGTGCACCTCGGGCCACAAAGGGGCAGCACTGAAAGTGTCCAGCACTCCACAACTGCCTGGCCTGCAGGCAGATTCCTGGTCCCCCACTGAGGACACTTAGACAAGCTCCTTGGTGGCTCCTCTTCCACTGATGTGAGGTCTGCATATTTTGAAAGACATGGGTGAAGCATTTACCCCAGGTTTAAATCCCTCTGCCACCTCTTTGGAGCTGCTCAGTCTTGGACCAGTGATTTTCTTCACTTCTGTAAGGCTAACTAGAAGGCAAAGCGTGAGGCTCATGACTTTAACCTTTGGCTTGAGGGCGCCAGCCGACAGCTGCAGTGGTAGTGACAAAAGAATTTTGTAAAAGGACAACACATGAGCTTTCAAGTTCTTGGTGCCAGAACAGAACCAGTGGCAGCAGTCAGGGGGCAGCTGCAGGACCAGCGCTCTGGGCTGGCTGTCTCACCCCAGGGCGGCTCGCTCCCTCCGTGCACGAAGGCTGGAAGGCAGCTCAGCCACGCAGCCAGGGCCTCGAACCTCCCTGGTCACACTACCCGGCAAGGCTGAGTCATGGAAAAAGTTAGCTCTGCAGGCAGCAGCACACCGCTCCCCTTGTGCTCACAAAGGCTCCTTTCAAGGTTTTAGGGGGAGCGAAAACACCAAAGGGGCCTCCTCCCAGCTTGAGATGTCAAATTTCAAACTTCACCCTGGAGTTCAACTCCACACCCCGTCCCAAATAACAGAGAGGAGGGGTGTCAAGGGTAAGGGATAAAGGATGGGGGACAGGAGAAGGCAAAGACATCTCCCATGCAGCTGTCACTGTAGACAGGCCCGCAGGGACCCTCCAGGGACCCTGCCTGGCTCCCTCACCCAAGTCTCTGGGGATTTTTGGGCAGGGCAGTGGAAGCAGCGACAGTCCCTCCTTGGGCAGCTGGAACCGGAGAAAAGCCAGAGGCTCACACGGGTGCCAGGCCCACAAAAACCATATCCTGAAGCCACCAAGCAAAAACAGGGGTCCTGTCCACCTCAGGCCAACTCTGGACCTGCCAGTCCCCTATGGCCTGACAATGTTCTTTTTTCCCTGACTTCACCCCCAGACGAGATGGGGAGCACCCTGTGTGGCCTCACAGGAGTTATTCAGATTAGCTAAGCCTCAGTGTCCTTCTGCATTGAATGGGTACAACGATGCCCACCTCCCAGGTTGTAAAGAAATTCAACCAGGTACAGGCCCCACCTGTGTGAAGATCCATTTGGGTTCTTGTTTCCTTCCCAGCCCAGCTCGGCCTCCATCCCAAAATCCCACTCAAAAGACATGGAAGTGAGACCTGGGGTCTGATCAGCTAGTCCAGCGTCTGAACAGGGTGGGGAGGCTGCTGGGGTGAACCTGCTTCTCTGAGAATGAGCTGCTAGGATTTCTGTGCTTTAGCTTCCTCCCTATGAAACAGTGGTGGGACAGGGGCTAGGATTCCCCTGATCCTTGGGGCATTAATCTTACTCGGGAAGAAAGGCTGGAAGTTGCAGGAACCTGAGGCAGCTGGTGGCTGGGGAGTGGGGGGATCGTGGGGGAGGGGGGGAGCAGCTTGGCAGTGCAGTGTCCCATCTGGGCCACTAGGCGGCTCCAAGGATAACAGATGAGTGCAGACAGCCAGAGCGCGGTGGGGTCTCTAGAGTTCAGCCCTCTCTGCAGGCCTGGTGCAGCGGGTGGGAAGGGCCCATCTCTCCCCAGCTGGGGCATCTGTCCCATCTTTATAGACGGGTAAGACGGGAAAAAAAGGTCACCGTGGCGGAGTCCTGAGAACAGATGAGGGCGATGGCCTTTGGTCATCCTTCTGGAGGGCGGGATGGAGGCTTGAGGGAGTCTCTGCCCTGCAGTCCTTGGCAGAGCCCAGACCTCCATCCCTTCCTTCCCTTCTTGCCAGAGACGGGTGGGGTGGGAAGAGGAATTAAGTGTGGGGTTGGAGCTCTCCCTTGTGCACTTCCTGGCGGGGTAACCTGGGAAGTGGGATGATAGTGCTCCCCATAGCAAGGTCAGTGGGAGGCCTGAGTGTCAGGCCCTCCTCGGGGTGTAAGATCTTCTCTTCCTATTCTGTCTTCCTTCCACTCTAGAGCGGCTCCCCATTCACCTGGAAGAAACCTCTCATCCGCCAAACTGCCAGCTTCTCCCAGGAACCACAGTGTCTTTGTAGGAGACAAAGCCTACCTCCCCAAACCAGTCTTTCTCAAGGTGACTTTCTCACCCAGGCAGGACATCAAAAGTGTCCATTCGGGTTAGATGTGATGGTCCACACCTGTCGCTGCAGCACTCTGGGAGGCTGAGGCAGGAGGACTGCAAGCGCAAGGTTTGCACAAGCAGCTTAGCAGGTAGGCAGAGCTTGTCTCGAGGGGTGTAGGTAGCTCAGTGCAAAGGCCTTGAGTTCAATCTCCAGTACCAAAACAAAAAACAAACAAACAAACTAAAAAACACCCTAGCTGCTGCTGCCTTGGAATCTCTGGGGTGGAGGCCCAGGACTCCAGGTCTGAACAAGTCCCAGGCCGCTGGAGAAGGCTGCCCCAGATTACAAGGCAGCTCCCTGGCTCACTCTCCCTCCTCGCCCAGGGCCGTTCGGAGGGGGCGGGAGGCAAGTCCCATCAGCACTTTTAACTGGGGCTGCTTCTTCATGACTCACCTCCCAGACTTCCTGCAACCGACAACCCTAAATAGCTCAGTCCCACCCTCCCGCAGGGAGACGCTCCTGCCGGGGAGGGCAGGAGGTCACACGATGGGGCAACCCAGGGGGACCCCAGGGAGCAGAGTCGCTGCCTGCACTGCGCAGGGCCACGGGTTTAAGACGTTTTGTTTACAGGCTTTTGTTATTAAGGAAATTGCTGTCAGTCAAGGTAATTCTAGCCCCATGAGCAATAAATATGCTCCCAGCTAATCTTACAGAGATTTTATTGGCACCCAGGGCACAGAGGTTCCTTTTACCCTGCCCACTGCCCTCCCCTCAAAGCAAAAGCAAAACCTCGGCGGTTCCCCACCCCCACCCCTCAACCACGCGTGGAACTCGGATCGGAGTTAGAAAGTGCACTCCGCGAAGACAGCAGAAGTCCAGGCCAAGGTGGGGCGTGACTTCCCGGTCGTACCTGGAGGCTGGGGATGACCAAGTGACCTGAAATAAACCCTGGGCGACCTGGTTGATTCAAGGCATGCGCGAGCTCGCGGGGGTGGTCACCTGGCCCCGGCTGGGAGGAACGCCTCCGGGAGGGGCTAGCTCGCTAGAGTCGGTTCCAGCGCGTTCGAGTTCCAGCTGCGTGCCCTCGGGGACACCAGCGGCAAGTCGCGACTTGCAGCTACGGGAGTCAGTCCCGGGAGAGCGCGAGTCTCGGCGAGCTCAGGAGCGCGCCCAGGCGCGCGCCCCGCGACGGTGCAGGGGGAGGGGAGGTCCCTGCAGCCACTCAGAGGAACGGTAGTGAAGCCTCGGAACAACTTTAACTGTCAATCAGACTTAATGGGGTATTAAAAAAAATGGAGAGGGGAGGGCCGTTCTCTTGCTCCGCGCCGGAGCCGCCCCGGGAGCGAATGAATAAGGCCGCGCCGACCAGGGTGTCCGATCCACGCGCGCTCCACACCCGGACGCTCTCCAAGTTGGAAAGGACGAAAAGAAGGCAATAAATGCTAAAAGGAAGAGAGGGGGAACCGGATCGAGCGGCAAATCCCAGCCTCTGCGAGGAGAGGACGAGGGAGGGAGCCGGAGCAGCGAGCGCGCCAGAGGCCGAGCCCTGCGCCCAGAGACCCGGACCCCGGACCGCGCTCCTCCTGCGTGCGCGCTGCTGGCAATCGGATCGCGTTTGAGCAATTTCCTGAGCCCAGGAATAGCAATGAGCCGGGAGACTTTCGCGGGCTGAAACTGGGAGCTCTAAGCACTTTTCCTCCACTTTTTCCCCCCTGGAGAAGGAGGGGGCGCGCTACAATTTGGAAACGGCTTTTTTTTTTAATCTTGCACTTTGGAACTGCGGGGTGCGCGCGTGCCACTGCTGCTCCCCCACCCCCCTTCCCTGCCTAAACTCCTCTGTCAGTCTGTAAACATTACCTGAGAATTCCCCCAGCCGAAACGGCTGCTAGGGCAAGAAACTTCTTGTCAGAACTTCCCACCTCCGGCTTCCCCGCCACCCCTCGCTCCGTCCCAACCTACGGGGACGCTCGTTTTCTTCCCGAGAAGGATTTATCTTCTTTTTCTTTTTTTATTTCACCCCTTTTTCTCACCCGACGGATTGCTCCTAGGAGCGAGCATTGCAAGAGTGGCCAAGTGGGACGCCTCTCTCCTCCGTATTCGGGTTATTGATTATTGTTTGGGGTGTTTTCTTTCTCAAGTCCTGTTTGGTTTTTTCGTGTTGTTGTTGTTTGTTTTTGCTCGGTCCGGGGAGTTTCGCCCCTGCCCGGCTCCGCGGCGCGTAGGATGGTGTGGAAACGGCTGGGCGCCTTGGTGGTGTTCCCCCTGCAGATGATCTATCTGGTGGCCAAAGCAGCCGTCGGACTGGTGCTGCCCGCCAAGCTGCGGGACCTGTCCCGGGAGAACGTCCTCATCACCGGCGGAGGGCGAGGCATCGGGCGCCAGCTCGCCCGAGAGTTCGCGGAGCGCGGCGCCAGAAAGGTACGGGGCGCCGCGGCTGCGGGGCTGGCCGTGGCGGGGGAGGGGACCACCGGCGCGGGGTGCGCCCACCTGCTGCGGCCGCCCGAGTCGGGAGTCGCCACCGGCCAGCGCTGAGCTGGTCGGTTTCACCTTGTAAATTTCCCCGGCACCGGACTGTCTGTGTTGTCAGATCCTCTCTTATGGGGGTGATGGGTGGCTGGCTAGCTGTTTACCCCCACCTGGAGACTTAGGAGACCCACCCACCGCCGCATTCCTCCCTCCCTAAGGAAAGTGTTGGGTGTCTCCCCCACCCCAACCCCGCGCTCCCCAACCCTTTCCCTTTTTACAGCCACCCTGGTGAGTTCGGGGTGTGCGGCTCCTTAGTACAACTGAGAGCCGCCTGCGAACTGGCGCCTGGTATTTTCCTTGGCAACCCGCTTCCCAGCCCAACCTGGGCGCCTGCGGTTCTGAAGACCCAGGAGACGGATACTTGGCTTGGGCTTGAGGGAAGCAGGGATCTCTCTGGAATGGGCTAGACCGGCAGGACTAGGAAGCCCAGGTGTTTGGAAATCAGGAAAGACGACAGAGGTTAAGCAGCAGCCTATGATAAAGAGCCCTTGTTCTCACCTTGGGCCCTGTCCCCTCCCCCAGCGCGTCCCAGAAGGGAACCCTCCCTGGGGGGTTGGGAGGTGGCGTTGAGCAGCACCGTGGACGTGCTGCTGGTCCCAGCTCTTCCAGCCCTAATATCTGGAGACCTGGTGCTTGCTTCCCAGTAAAAAAGAGAGTGAGCCAGCTGTCACCCAGCTCGGGCCAGGCTGACTCACCCAGTGACAGGAGCAATCAAGAGTGGGATTTGAGGCTGCAGGGCCGGGCTGTCTGGCCCAGTGAAGAGGAAGAATTAGTTTGAAATTAGTTTGAAACTTAAACTGTTGTGAATGAGGGGGCAAAGGGGGCCAGGAAAGCCAGCTGATCTGACACGGAGCCACATGCCTTGGGGATTAAGTAAATATGTACTGTGGAAACCAAGCCTGCATGTAATTCCAGGTTGCTTTTCTTTTGTTAAATTCTGCCCTGAGATTTACAATTCCTCAGGGGTGGCTCGGACTGGGGCTGAACTTTGGAGTCTGAACTATCCGCCAAAGCTGATTGCCGATTAACTCTTCCCTAGCCTGGCTGCCCGGGGCCTGTGGAGGCTGCGATAGTGGGGTCCAGCTGTCCAGGTCTCCCTCTTCTCCTTGGGTGGTTTGGACAGCTGCTTGACCTTGCAGTTGGAAGGGGATTTCGGAAGTGTTTTTAACCCTTAGACACATGGAAAAAGAGGAAGGCTTGTTCTCAGCATTTTAGTGGTACTGCAATTCAGGGCTCCCAAAGCCCTCCATAGAGAGGGGATCAGGGGAGAGGAGGTACCTTTGGAGAGGGGTTGTTAGGGGCCGTAGCCTGTGATTGTCATTCCTGAGCTGTCTGCACCCCGCAGAGACTCTTCTCACTCTTCAGCTGGCCCTGGTCCTAAATTCTTCTGCTGCTCTGGTAACCTCTGCAGTAGGCACAGGAGGAACTCTTAGTCAATCTGGAAAAACTTGACTGACTATAAACAATCTTCCATCAGAGGAAGGAGATGGTATTGGGGATCGGTTTAATAGAGCAGAATGGAGCCTGTAGGCCCGTGCACTGGAAGCCATAGCCGCACCTAACTTGGGAGGAACAGCCTTTTCCAGGGACACCCAGTGCCATTTGGAAAGACTCTTCAATTGGTGGCAGGGTTACCCAAAATAGAATCCACAGGCGCCTGTGAAATTTCCAGTGCCACTCACGTTAGGCTCAGCCACTAGACCAAGTGAGATGACCACGAGGGATCCCTATAGCTCATAATTATCTGACCAATTACTGGAGCTACTTTTTAATGAGCCTTTGGCTTGCTCTCATGGTGGGGAATTTGGAATGGCAGCATCTTGCCTGAGTGCATCTAGGGCCAGCATGTGGACTTGAGGAGAACTCCCAGAGCTACAGTGTTGTAGGGGTGAAAAGTTTAGGGGAGACAGCTGAGTTCCTTGGGGACACAGGAGTAAACAGTGGGCATGAGAATGGCCCAAGAGCATATGAGAGTGCGGGGGTCAGTGCCACCCACAGCCTGCGGTGACATCAGAGACTCTTCCCTGTGGAGCCACAGGACTCTCTGTGGGAGAAGCAGAAGCTACACCTCGGGCCTGAATTCTAGTGGGATTGGATCTTGGGGGAGAGGTCCCCAAAAGAAAAAGAACGCAGCCATATGGGCACCTCTGCAAACAGTTGACATGTCTGGGAGGAGGGGATGACAGCCTAATTTCCTCTAATGACCTTGAGTTAAATAGAATTTGGCAATACTTTTGGGGAATAATAAGCCTTAGGCTACAAAACTGCCCCAAATAAGGATTTCCTTTAAAGAACACTCAGGCTACAAGAGTTCAAAAGTTCGTGACCAGGAAATAGCTCTTCTTACAGATCACCAAGGTTGCAGGGACAGGACCAGTCCCCCACAGTGCCTCACTAGGCAAGGCTAGGTCATCCCCACTGCATTCCTTGGTGTCCTGTGCCCTCCTGGGATTCCTCCCTGAAACAGTCCGGCCCATCTGCCTTCCCAAAGGCTCCAGCTACTCAGTCCGCTCACCCCATCTCCAAAGCCTTTAAGTTTGACATGGTTTAAACAGGAACTTGGAAAGCGGAGGAGTTTGGAAGTCTTTGCAGTGGCTCTTCCGGACTTTAGTGCCATATTGCACCTAGGATAAGATCCCTGGGCCCTGCAGAAGCACTACGTACAGAGCAGAGCTCTACATACAGGCTTAGGAGTGTGCAGACTGGCACTGAGTTATTGAATTTTCAGTATGCAGTGGCTGTGCGGCTCTGTTCCCCAGAACATCTCCGAAAACCTGCTCCTCCAGTTGGATTTGTGAATCCTACGCTCTGTGCCTTCCATCCTGCCGGTCCCTTTCCTTCCCACAGCCCACAGCAGAGCCCACCAGGCCCATCATCCTCCTGACCCTGGCTTTAGAGACTTAGCTCAGCAAAGTACTTGGGGTGTCTGGCAGGTAGCTGACACAGTTAGGCCTGTGGGGAGCAGAGCAAAGAGGAATGAGACCCAGAGACACGGCCGGGTGCTCACAGCAAAGGCAGCTTGCCGCCTGTGGCCTCCGTGACAGGTTTCCCAAGCCAAGTGACTTATAACAAGTGACTTTGGGAAGAAAATGCTTGTTCCTCATCACTGATCGTTTCAGTCTCTTTTGCTGTGTTGTGCTGTCTCTCCATGAGATGCCCACACCCACTTCCAAACAGCCATCTGCTGTATATGTATTTCAACACTTGCAGATGATATTAATGTTTTCAGCTTGAAGCTTGCCAGAGACTGAAGTTCCCTCACTAGGCTGTCCAGCAACATTTCATGACTTTTACCCTAATGTCACCAGATTCTCGCTTTGGGCTGCACACAGCGCTTGCTAGACCTCGTAATAGTGAACCTGAGTTCTCAATCCCACTTGGCCCAACTTCGGTGTACCTTACCCTCCACTAATTCTTCAGACTTCACGTTCTCCCAAGATTTTATTTTTGCAGACCCAAATGCATTCATTTATGACCACACATAGTCTTTGGGGTCCACTTAGA